ATTTCTCTACTAGAATTATATCAGTCATGATAATACTACAACAATATCAATACAAATATTCATTCAGAGAGAGAACTGCGTTACATTTCTCACGAGAATGTTTACCAAAATTTCAAAATTGTTATGGTTTATGTATTTCATATTGCATTTAATCAATCGATATTGTTTATTCGACAATGTGTTGTACATCTGTTGTGTTTAATTTCCAGTTCAATTTCGTGTTTAATTTTGTTACTAAACATACATTTCCGGAAAACCATCTCATTAGAAGATTGACAGAATATTGGACGTTTTGACGTTCGTAATATCTAACGAGGAAGGGAGGGGGAGTACACTGCGCTTCTCGAAGATGGTTAATTACTCTATTGAGCGTGCAAATTGGCCTCCGTTTAGTCTGTAAACGATCTCAGCCTCCGCTACGAGTAATAAATTAAACTAATGATTATTTTGCCGATCAATAATCATTAAACAGCCGCAGAAAGCGACGCAAATTTGCAATGCAAGAGCCGGGCTAATGTCAAAACCATTGTTTTACACAAACCGTGTAATAAACGCTCCCGGTCTCGGTACTCCACCGCGTCCAGCGTTTTACTCGATTTAACAACAACGTCTGGAAATCGATATAACTCCGCATACACACAACGTGTACAGGCATACATAAACATCACGAATGCGTATATTTAGTAAACTTTTAGTCCAAGTTAAAACGCAACTTTTATAGATAGAAAAGACGTCTAACCTTAAGAGGGATAATACGGAGTCGGAAGTTGAATTTGACACTTGCGATTGTTGGCATCTCATTTGACACAAAGTTCATGGAAAATCGCGCTATCGTGACCGCGAGAGAGAGACTCGCTCTCTCGAGGGATCAACCCTACGCATCAGTGGGATAAAATTATCGTCATGAAGGAAGCAATGTTTAAATCGCGTCATAATCCTTGCCGTAATCTGAACCAAATGCCAATAATATTGTAGAGGGTCAGGGTTAAGATCGCGCGTGCTACAAATATCGCATTGCGTGTGCTATCATAAATCTTTTATGCCATGAAAATAATATGTCGACGTTACAGCATGGAAAACTCCTTAAATATTTGTAGAGCCTGATCGATCATCGTAGGCACAATGAAGTAAACAAAAAATCTATAGTGAATCCAACTGCTTATTAAATCGATCGGGAGATCTATTGACATTGCAGTGAGCAGCAATATTTTTAAATCTTTCAACAATTTGATACATAATGATAAATTCAGCCACTCAAATAATCAATTCATCAACCTATTCTATTTTAATAACAAAAAATATAGATTCTATGGCAACATATTTCTTTTTCACGATAAAAAGAGTCAGCTTGGTGAATAGATGCATATATATATTTATCATATATGTTATATATATTCTATATTTATATATATTTAACCTTTTATTCTACAATACAAAGTGCATATATTTAATGGATAGATAAGAATAATTGTATATAGTTTTTTTTAAACTTTTTGCCCGTTTTTATTTTTATTTGCGCTTCAATGTCAACTCAATTCAATCACGGAAACAAACTATGAAGCAACATATGATAAAAAACAACACTACATTTTTTAAATTCAGTATTTGAATACGGAATAATAAAATTTCAATCGCTAAAAATAATTTGCATAACTTTCTCATTTGTTTACTTCACTAAAATCGTTAAATATACTTCAGACGTGACGTTAAAGCAGTTCGTCCGCATTATCTCACGTTTCACCGTGCAACTGCCGGATTATGAAAGTATCCACGCGAAAAGCTTTGTTCGCTCCCGTTGTTACATGGATCAACATTATGACGTGCGACCACGCTATCTTAATCGAAAAACCGACAAGGTGCAAGGTGTGCCGGAATCAAGGCCAGGGTCGTTGCTTGCACACGTCGTCGCCGTACTATTCGCGAATCGCCGCCGCAGTGCCGATCTCGTGACCTCGCTCACGACTACGGTATCCACGACTTCCTATTAGCACCGAGTTTCCCCTTCCGGTATCGCGGAGAGGAGAATTCCGCCGCTATCGATGTCAATAATTGTGTGAACGCGACGGTGTTCCGTAGCTTCAACGTTATTATCAAAATTGAAATCGCATTTAAGTAAAAGCCGAAGGCATTACGTATCCCGGGAAAGACGATGGCTCGCATTATCAATTTATTGATTCGATTACATAAAACGGTCACGTTGAAACCGCGATATTTTCGTCTCACGGACAGCCGAGCACGCTTGTTTTCAACGTGAAAGGTCGTATTCGCTTTTCAATCGTCGCGAGAGTACGGCCGCGTCACAAAGAGATATTGTTCAATTGAACAGGCTGTCTCATGGCTTTTTCACCACCGCAAACACCCCGCTCGGCTCGCGCGCGGGTTAGACCAAATCGGTTAGCAGAAACCAATCGCGGTACACTCGACAAATTATTTATAGAAAAACAAGGAGTAGGTGGACAGTAGCGGTCAGGCACTGTACACGGGAGGGGGGGGGGGAAAGGGGACCAAAAAAAAAAAAACAGAGGAGCTGCACGCCGCGTGTTGAAATATACAGTTGTCGTGATCGGTATCACGACAACAGTATTGTTACGGCGATCAATCATCAGTGAACTTTGACGATACACCGCATGCAAAGTGCATCGATTCCACTACGTGCAACGACGAAAAAGCACATGGCACACTACGTGTGCGTCAGGATACGACCTTGACCCTCGAACGCCTTTTCGCTGCTCGTGTTGTAGGGACCGGTGTGTGTCCGCGGTTTATTCCGAGATAAATTGCAGAGCTTGCGCACAATCAGTTTCGTAGCCGGCTCGATTTAATGGGGTACGGCACGGCGGCGCCGTTAAACTCTTCCGAATCACTCTCGACGAGGGTCTCAAAGCGATACAGACAGAGTCGTGCATATCGGTTGCATGCGATATCGCGCGCATTTTGCAGATTGCACGCGAGAATTCAAGCGGGGATATATATCTCGAACAATCCATCTCCTTTAACCATTCTTAAGAAACAATATGCGAGCCGGCGCTTGGCGGAGGAAATTGCAATGCGAGGTAGCAGAGGTACCGTGTATCAATGAAATGGAAATTTAGGCAATGTTTTAAGCTAGAGCATACTAGGGAGCAAGCAAAGAAAACTGAATTTTATAATACATTGCAGCGATCCAAAGAAAAACAAAATGGAAAACATGACAGAGTACAGTAGTTCTCGTCAGAATTTATTTATATATTGTAGACTCTACAGGATATTCTGAAACTCAAGAATATCCTTTTTACAATGAATTCTTTGACCAATTTGAAATTGATTTTTTCTCACTGACAATGTTAAAGGAGAACATTATTTATCGCTTTTTTTTTAAATTAAAATTTTATTAAAATAAAATGCAATTAAAATTAATTGAAGAATATGATATAGTATTCATTTGTCTTTGTGAATCTTAGTTCCCGAAAAGCTCTTTTTAATTGGTTTTTAAATCGATGTTTCGACATTTTCGCTGAAGAAAAATTGACTTTGAATTGATCAGAAAATTTGTCATTAAATTGACATTGACAAGAGTATTGAGATATTTTATATGAATTAATAAATCGTCATATCGAGATTAATAAAATTTTTATTGACAGTGTGTTAGTATGAAATACGAGTCAGATTGTTACGGATCTCTTTCATCGTGCATTCGCAATAGATATGTATGGAATAATGACCTCGTATAATAATCTGTGACACGATATATTACCATATCGTCTTAACCTTTGTTTGTTTATGGTTCTCAAGGCGATTTAAGCACGAACATTACTTTGAATATACGCGTATTGAATATACAATACGATAAATAGTACACTTTCATGTACATATTTCATAATATTATGTAATAATCGAGATTTTATTTAATCCATTTCATAATTTAAATTATGTAATATAAGATGCAAATAAATACATATAACATTTCTATAATTAATTCCGAAAATATATATATTCTTGTTTTTTAATTATACGTAAATATAATTAATTGTACTTATAATTTTGAAATATAAAAATATAAAAGATCGCTAAGTTTTATTGTATAGTTTTTTTCTGTGTATTTACTGAATTTATTGAGTTTTTATCTGTAGATAATTCTGATGATAAAAAACAATTCTTTATTTATTTAACGATGCTAAACTTGTTGAATGAAAATGATATATTAATAAAAACATAGTATTATGTTACGGAAAATACGATTTTGTAGATTATATTCAGATCGATAAAGAGTATATGTATTGTACTGTGTCTATAATACTGTGCGTGTCCTACTATGCCGTTAATACACATCATAACAGGTAATGAGGAAACCTGCTCATGAATAATGTCAATATGTAAAGTTTCCGCATAAATGCCCTCTTTATTTGAGCTGTACACAGAGTTCAGAACTGTCAGCTAGAGTAACCAGCCTTCGAGGAAAATGCACAGTAATTTAAGCATTGCCACAGAGAGTGAATTGTTTCTCGTAAGATCTTGGAAGCAATGCACAGCGAGTATTGTTTGTCTTTTCTACATCTCATGTAACGTATTTCACATTGACGCATAGTTATTTCGAGAATATATTTTACTGCAGCTATTCTTTAAAATACCAAAGAGGGTCTTAAAAATGTTGCACATAACTTTTATAATCCATATAAAAATAAGTTGATATATAATTATCTGAATTGACGTCAACTCGATAATTTGGAAAGTCGAAAATAGCCGTCGTGCAAAATTGCAGTTACTTTTATCGATCTTTCCAATCTAAACTACTAAGCCGACTAAGTGTACTCTATTATGCTATTCTTGGGCGAGATTTATGTATGCTTCGTTTCGCTCGTTATTTTCACCCAGTGTACTCAATTAAGGAATCCTCCTCAATGCGACATAAATATACACAGTTCGATTTTTTGAAATTATATTTTTATATTAGTATCGTATAATTTAATTTATGAATGAAGTTTATGATCAAAATAAAATATCTTTTTCGCAACAGGATAAATCTTTTGTATGTTTTGTTTTATACATTGAGCGCAAATAAAAAAAGCACTTTATATAGAAAAATATCAAAAGCAAAAGAGTGATTATCATCTTAAGTTTCAACAAACCGGCCCAGCAGCAAGAAAGCACTGCCTACGGCTAGATTCTCTTTTATCCTGATTCCTCTTTTATCCTGATAACTTTCTCAAAAATACTTGCCCTTTTATTTCAAAGGACGTCTTTACTAAGACTGATATACAAGTCTAGACAAGTTCCCCTATTCGTCTCAATATAAATGCCACTCTTAATTCCATGTTTCACAAGGAATATATAAGTTAGCCTAATTCTCGTATCAATATTTTTTTATACAAATCATTATATAGATATTATAATAATCACAGTAGTTTAGATTGTTCAATTGAAAAAAAATATTTTGCTAAAATTGTAAATTTTTTGCAGTTTCATCAGACTGTATTAACTTACATGCGAAATAGAGTCTGGGAATTCCATTTCTACGTGGCTAACGATTGGCCTGAAGATGCAATCTGCTTACATTTTCCCGGAATGACGTTATCTGTAAGTATAAATTAAATTTCCGCTATTATTTAAGGCAAAAGTTAGTTTGATGTAATCTTAAAAGTTCCGATTTCTAATAGTTTACTTAAGATAACAATTCCACTTTCTTCCTTAACCACATTTTCTTCAAAAAGTTGTCCACATTAAATTTATCTAGCTCGCTCCGTAATCTACTTGTGACTCACGTCACGTACTTTGTAGAACGTATTTCTTTCCTACGAAATATAACAGATCGGAAGCGACCTTAAATAAATTATTTTGATCACAAGATGTAAACTCACCAATTACCGCGGCAGATTGTAGTAAATCGTTAATTCGCGAGATACCGCGGAGTCAAAAAAAGAAGCATCTTTTCCGCAAGTACTGGAAATTCATTATCATGCTTCCGAATGCGCCGTTTCTCCATGTAGAATGCAAAAAGACTGAGTTGGCCCATATTCTATAGGTTTGGCAATTCGCCAGATTATCGTCTTTCTCTCGTTCGCTGTTGTCCTCGCTGACGCGATTCGCGACTCATTTTATGCCAGCCCTCCAATTCGCCCCGAGACAATTTTTGTTTATGCTCTTTAGTTAATTACAACCTCTGCAGCACCATAAATTCAAATGACCGTTGGTTATTAAATTTGCATAAAAATAAAATATACTTTCTGAGAAATCTCCACGTGCCACCGCGGCAACAAGGATCTCGATGTAGCCTTTGACATTTAGCAACTATTTGTGTTGAGATTCGCATTCGTGTCGTCGATTCGACTGTTAAGTGGCTAATCCGCGCGGAATGTTTTTCGACATGGATGTAAACACAAGCCGAAATATAAACGCCGCGACGGGCCGTAATTTCACGTTTAAATATAAAACACGTGTGACGCGCGTGTGTCGGTACGTCAAATCTATTTCTAAGCTTCTAAATTCTAGAAAAAAGTTCCGCGTGTGGATTATGGCAGCAGGCATAAATAACTCGTAAAACGTTTCTCCATACTGTATATTATTTTTTCGTACTGAAGATACTACAGATGTGCTAATCGTATCCTCTGTCACATTTTCAGCCGCACGGTTTGGTATATGAGAGCGTCGGTGTCTTCTGCCCGAACGATCGGCTGGACCTGCTGCGTCTTTTCCGGGAGGAGGATATTCTCGTAGACTGGTCGAGACCTTTGTACATTAATTTTGCTCATTACGATATCGCCGAGGAGCTGACGCGCCTTTACGAAGGTACCGGCACTATCGAGACTGTCGTGGGCGATGTCTGCGCGTGCGAGGACTTTGAGCATGGCGCGGAAAGCGGGGAATTGTGTAAGGACGGCGATCCCGATGTCCAGGTGTTGCCTCTCAAGGCGGAACACGCCGAAGGAATTCACGAGTTGTATCCGGCGAACGACATGGAGTGTCATGAACTTTTTCTCCGTCTCATCAGGACTCTACCGGCGGCAGGCGTGTTCGTGAAGGGTAGCCTGGCCGCCTGGATGGTCCAGTCCTATTACGGAGCTATGTTCTCCATGCAAACCAAGCCGGAACACCGTAGAAAAGGTTACGGGACGAAATTAGTAAGGTAGACTAAGCTCGTGGTTATATATATTCTCGATAGTATTAACTGACATTGGCACATACAAGTAATTCATATCTAAATGGACCGTTGGCAATGTTAAACTGTTCAAAAAATTTACACGTCTAATTTAAGCTTTCTAAAACAATTAAATATTTTATTTTATTTTAGCAAAGACTTTTTAAAATCGTAAAAATTTAACAAAACACAGGCGTATGAATGGCTCATGTGTGTCATATAAGTTGATAACGTTTCGTGCAGCGTTTGCAATTAACGATAATAACAATTTGAGAATTTAAAGGGTCGTTTTACTTTTATAAATACACCTAATTCGTGCTAATTAAGTGTTATGTCATATTACGAATTGTTATACACGCCAAAGTTAAAATATACGACGGAATGTGTGTGTCTGAAATTTCAGGTACCTGACAAAACGCGTAGCCGAGAAAGGATATTATCCATTTGTAGTTATACGTCCAGAGAACGAAGCTAGCCACAGTCTGTATAAGAAGCTGGGCTTCAGACGGCTTTACCAACTTGTACGAATGACTTTTACGCCTTCCATGTGGCAAGAGAGCGAAAACGACGCAAACATTCTTAGGGATAACTTGGAAAACGCCGTCAGGCAGCTTAGCCTCGAGCAGAGGGTAATAACGGCGCTGCGCGATCAGAAGGAGAGCGAAGAAACGATACAAGATCCCGCGGGAATCGCGTCAATTGTTGAAAAGGAGGGAGAAGAGGGTGAGGGGGGTGCCAACGAGGAGGATCTTCTCGAGACTATCGAGGAACAGTCTGAGGAGAGGATAGACACAGCGGGAGACAATGCAGATGACCCGGTGGCCGAAGAGGCATCGGAAACTGCGCAAATTGACGATTCTAATAACGACTGCGGGACGGACGTCGCGGGTGACGACGAATAAATTTATAGGGAACGTTTATACGATAAACAACGGTCCATAATTCACGTTTTTCTTGCTCGAAGATACGCTCTTCGCCACGAGGCGTTGATAAGCAGCGAGATAAATTGCGAGCGGAAGTTATGACTCGCGTTACTCATTCTTATGAGTCTATAAAGTTCTTAGAGACGGTAAGCCAAACTTCCTGTATATCTTTTGTAATAGTCATTCATGCCTGTTTACTTTGATAATGATAAAAATTTGATGATTCGTATGAATTATATTCAATAATGATTTATAATTAATACCACATTACTTTCGAATTATTATCATATAAATTGGCAATTTTTTTTTTTATAAAATATAGTATAGCCGATATTGTATCGAACAAGTTTTCAATTGTATATACAAACGTCTGTGCGAGAGCAAATGTCTTCTTCGAGCGATAAAAACGCGCCGAAAGAGTCAAAGATAGAAAATATTTTAAGAGATTTTGACAATTACATAGCACCGCGTTCGTGCGAGGCTTCAATTCGCGTACGAAGAATCAAAATTCCTCGTATGATTCCTCATATCAGACTCTTTCCAAAAAAACATGAAAATCTCAGGTGTCGGATAGCTACGTACGTTTGGGTTGCCAGTGTTATATCTCGTCGAAGTCTATCCGATCGTGTATCGTTCTTCTTGTTGCGTTGGTACAAATACATAATTTGACATAAAGATCGTCAGTGTTATCAATTATTTGTTATATAAACGCGTTTAATATATTCAAATATTTCTGAATAAATTAAATAAAGTTGTCGTATAACAACAATTGTCATGTGATGGTTAACAATGTCTATATGCGTTTTATCTGTTTGTTCTAAGTGTTTCTCGTTTTCGCCACAATTATCAATAAACAATATACATTGATGTGGCGTATAATGATATATATATATTTATTAGAAGATTACGTATTATAGAATTTCAATAATATTATCCAGTTCTATAATTCAGAAATTTTATTATTGATTTCTAACTACTTAAATATAAATGTAAGTAAATAGACTTTGTAGATTTAGACTTGACTATTCTATGAATTTGTAAGTCTAAATCGACAGCGAAAAATGGAAAGCGCGCTAATTTTCACCAAACACAAAAGTTCGAAAGTCTGCGAGGTGATTCAAACTGTGATTATAATTTTCGTGTATAAAGTAGAATCTCGAGAGAAATTACGAAGCCTCGTGCGATCTCGACACGCTTTCATCGATATAATAGACGTAATTTGCTGTGCCGGTGTAATCATGGATAAAAATTGTGGATGAGCCCCGTTTTTGATAAAAATTCATCCCGTCACATATATATTAGTCTTCGATATTTTTAAATTTATACATGTTACGCCATAAATGATAGATTATAAATACTGCGAAACCACACAATTTCGTTATAGAGAAACCTTGCTTCATAATTGCAGGAAACTGACGGGCACTATAATTTTCTGTACGTGTTGTGCACCGTCACAGCGATTACCTTAGCGTGCGAGTTAATAATAATAGTAATATTAATGATAACAAAATATGACATAATTAATATTATTATTAATAATAACCGTTATACATATATGATATAAATACCGCGCAAAAAGGAGGGAGTCCGGCCGGTTCAGTTCCGTTCCCGAGGAACCTCGAGATCTTAGATAGCTAAACTATTTGTATAATTTTTTCTACGTTTCATATAGATGACTTATCAACAATACAAGACGGGTAATGTGTAAGGGAATCGGTTCCGAGCGGGGACGGAGTCGGGGAGGCCACGTGACTCTTTTAAGGCCCCCCGCGAAAAGAAACCCTCGTTTATTTTTGATTTTAATATTATACTGGGGGCCAGCTGTGATACTTTACCCAATTCACTTACACCTGGTCGTGGTACCAAGTCTAATTTAGGCGAAGATCAATCGTTGTTAACGGTGCGCTAGAACTCGATAAATTCCACTTTCGCGCATTACGTTATTTCATATTCGATATATATCGATCAAACAAAAGCAAATATATTCGACATTTCGCGTTGTGCAACAGATGTATTATCGAACGTATAATTTCTACTTTTGTAATTCTCTTTTTTTTACAACAATTCTTTTTATATCAGTGCCATTTTATATCGAATTTGACATTTGACAAAATAGTTTGAATAGGAAGTTTCAGTTTAGAACATTACTTTGATTTTGTCCGCAAACGTTTTGCATACAAATTCAAGTGGAATTTGCGAGTATGATTGAAGAGGATTGGCCATTGCGGGAAACTCAAGGATTTCAGTCATACGTAATCGTGTCAATTAAAGTCTCAAGTGTGATAGAAGTTTGTATCTTGTTTCATCGTCACGCAACGACCTGACGTAAAAGCGTGGAAAAGCGACGACTTTTTGACCACTTCGCGCGCGCCTTTCGCTCGATGCGATTTTCAACCGCAATTATATAAAGCAAAGTAGCTCCTGTACAATCGTGGTCAATATAGTCTCTAAAGTGTTGCAATATCTAAGTTTATATAACGAGACGATAAAAAGCAAAGGTAGACGGTGGCTCTGTTTTCATTCCACTGTTAAGAGCAGCGTTCTGCAGCACGTATACGTGTTGCATAATTGAGTTTTTCGCAATGGCCTTATGTATCGGTATCTCCGTTGCGTAGGTTTAAGTGAACGAATCTCTTTAACTCCTTTCGCTTTAGCATCTCTCTCTAAATCAGTATACTTTCTCCAAGATGTAAAAATATTATTTTATACGCACAACATAATTAATTTACTAGAAATCATCTTTCGCCCAAGAAGGCTCTTTAAAGTTCCATTTCTCAAGATTAAAGAGAAAAGATTTCCAATTGTCAGTATTTAATAACGCCAGTGAATTTGTTTTATCCACTCTCTACGCTATCGCAACGGAATGTCACGAGAATCATTACAAAAGCACGGAAAAACAACAACGAACTTATTACTACAAACACTATTATGCGCCAGCCTGTACGTAGTATGTTAATCCTAGCGCTGTGTTAATCAGTGTCTCGCGAAAATTAGGCCTAAATCTAAAATCTGCCTGAGAAGAGGCACATCCCGATACGTATGTAAATATTAATATACATATATCCTTTCCTCTTTCCTTCTCATGCACGTTGCCTTCAATTGCAACAAAAAAAAAAGAAATTTTGTCTAGAACAACTTCAGTCCTACGATCGACGATGAAAGTTACACGAAAAGTGAAATAATTACGTCGCCAATGTAAAACGTTTCGAATCTATTTGTTATACAGAGCAATTACGAAGAAGAGAATAATGTTCGATGACGTAGATTTTTTTTTGTTTACTTGGTTTAGTGGGTGGTACATGTAATCTATGAGCGAGAGGGAACCAGTGCGAGAATCAGTAATTTTGTGAGAAATGGATAATTGGAAACTGGATAAAAGAGCTTTGGATAATAAATGGGACAAACAAATATGATTTTTCAACGATAGTGTCGTTTATTATGCGCTCGACTCTGCTGTACATTCATTTATACAGCTTATCCCCATAGCATTTGCAAACAATGGATCCTGTGTACTTTTTGCAGAATATTAATTTATCTCGCGAACAATACACCAACTCACAATCAGCTAAATAAATCATTAAACATCCCTGATAAACGATGTTAATTTAATTCACAAACAGATTGACAGAATTGTTATTTTTATCCCTGAATAAACCTTTTAAAAGCTGGAATAGTCTCCTCAATATCTCTTCTTTTTTTTTTTTATTAAAACGTATCTACAATGATCGAATGAGAACACTGTTTCCATCGATTCCAGCACCGTGAAAAACGTCAAGCAGATTAATTAATACGATTTAAATTTACATATGCAACATGTTACTTTAGAAGGTAGAAATTTGACTTTCAAATTCAAAGTATTCGATGGAATTGAATAATTATGTGGTAAGAAATATTTTTCACTATTTTGCAACAGTATGTGTCCTTTTTACTTTGCAAAATATTATTAAGAAGTGTTTAATATAATTGACAATATACAGCAATGTTCTTCTTGATACACCGATATTTTTTTAATCGAGAACGAAACAGGAAACACGATAAGTAAGTTGAATCACTTTGAATGTTGAATGTGTGTGAGCATTATCTGGCATATTAATTTCTAACATTGCAATTTCAGTTACACGGATTTCATATTATTCAGTGACTAGAGAAAGTCCAATGCACGTAGTAACTATCACATTTTACAGTTTTGTATCACCACACTTACTTTCACCTGCACAATCGTGAGAACAACGAAAGATATATCGATAAATTATAAATTAACCGTAAGATTGAAGATATTATTAGCGAACGTATACGCACTCTGCGAGAAACGACACGAGGTTCACACAACTCACTTGAGATACTACAGAAAGTCTTGGAGAATCCTCACATCGCCTCCATGTTCTCGAAAAATGTTCCGTCATTCGCAACAGCACGGTTCGTACGTCGCACGGTTTTCAGGTAGGAGTACATCGCTCGAGTCGCTGCATCGCTGCATTATCATTCGTTCCAAAGTCGTCGGCGACTCTTACGACGGTGGTGAACGCGTACTTAGCGACTAGCGAGTTGAGGCGAAAATCGAATGGCGATACTGCGCGACGCGTGGTTGTACAACGACTGCGAATGACCGACGCGAACGACTGCCACGAACGGAGTCTCGGAAACGACAGGTGACTAGTAGTTGGCGGACTGGACGGCGCGCAGTGCGCGCCGTCGCCGCGGTCTCGGACGGGCTCGGTCATGCCCGCCGAGGCTCGGCTGCCTCCGTTGGGCATGGTGGGGCGAGCAGTGTATACGTGACGTCACATAATTAGAGTAAATACAAAGTAGTCTTGATGGGACAGCGGCGTGCGCCGCACCGTGAGTCGCTGGTCCGCGCGCGTCAAACCTATATCGCTCCGATACACGCACACCGCGCTCCCGTGAGTAGCTCGTGATATATACATACGTCCGCGCGCTATGTGCCGTCAGTGTGTGTGTGCGTCAAGGGATCCTAGATGACTGTGGGAACAGTGAGTGACACTTGTGCGGCGAAGAAATGGAAAAGATAGAGGTGAGAGAGTCACAAGGGGAAGCCGGGTGTGTAAAGCGCGAATTTCGTCCCGTCCCGTCTCGCGCGTCACGTCGCGCCGTTAATGCAGCGCTTGCAAACAAATTTCGCGCTTAACGCTCTCTCTTCTGCCTTTCTGTCTTGTCTTTCTTTTTTTAATTACCACTCCGCGCTCTTGTCCCTTGCCTCCTCCCCCTCTCCACCCCCGCATTTACCCCACCACCCCGTCACCCCCCTTCCATATAACCGTCAGATTTACCTCGGCGAATACTCGCTCGATCGTAATGCAGAAGTGACAGCGTGATGATGAGTGGGGAGGAAGGGGTAGCCGATGGTGGGGAGATCGTAGATGTTAGACATCTGGCAACGAATACCATTGTATGTATCTTCAATGTGCCATATTATTAGATAGACTTGGTACTTCTCTCTCTCTTCTCTCTCTTTTTCTCTCTTCTTTAAAGCCATCATCGTTCATCTTTGTTTCATTTTCGAACCTCTCTGTCAAGTTTATGGCTTCGTCCTTATCTCACACTCGCGCGTCTCCCGCAACTCTATCTTTTATTCGCTCTCTCTATCGGTCTCAGTACTTTTTCTCTCCCCTCTTTCTTTCTCTCCGTCTTTCTCCGCCTGTATCTTTCTCCGTTTGTCTCGCGTTCCTTCTTTGCCAACCACACTCCATACTTCTCTCTCTTTCTTTTTTCTATCTCTTTTACACCGCCTCTGTTCCATACCGTTCTCCCTCTCTTTCCCTCTCATTCTCGGTTAGTCAAGTATTTATAGATGTGCCTTAACCCGATTTAACGCAGCCACCTCAACTCACATTGTCCTAACGACTGTTTAATGAGAAATTGCATTGTTTTCGAAATCTCATTTTCTTCGTTCCGGATCAGCTTTCAGCTGAATAATATTGTGCGTTTTTTTTTTTGCGACAAATGTTTGCGTAATATAAAAATGAGAAAAAAATAAAGAAAAACGATGCAGAAGCGGTAACGACGCGTTATCCGTCATATGTCCGAGAATCGAATCGATAAACGGTTACGTTGTTATTACAGCGGAATATGGTTGTGTTTTGTGCGCCATACGATGCGTATATGCGAAATCCAATTTCGGAGCTTTTAAGATCATCTCGCGAATAAAGTCGCGGCTACGACGGCGCTGGCGAGGATGGAGAAAAGAAGAAGAAAAAAAAATGTTTTCGTAGTGCTTCGTTGAAAAAGGTGTGTACAGTCCGCGGAGAAAGTTCATTTTGTGGAAAGTGTTACTGTCGCGACATCATTTTCTTCTCGGCCATCTCGCCGAGCGCACAAATCCTGTTTATTTACATTATGCAAAATGTCGTCGGTAACGGTGATACAGTTATTTTATTTGCAATATGCACTAAATCATTGACGATATATGTATATGGATAAATATACTGCGCGCGCGCTTGACGGATTTTCTGGCGGGTGCAGTTTTTTCGGCGCGCTATTCCCCGTGTGTGGTGCTCTGCTTGAACTCTTCTCGCTCGCTCCCTCCTCCGTTTCTCCCCGTCGTTCGTTTCCGACTTCCCAGTACGCTCCCCACCCACCACTCGCGTTCTAGCGGACGAATTGAAAGTATACGTTTGAGAATTAAATCGATAAACGCGGAGTTGCGAATTACAACGAGTAATTATTGTATCAGCCATTTACATTTAGTTTTATTATTATTTAATTATTTTGAAAATAAATTAAATTTATTTTGAGTCATATTTTGTAAATCTTGTTAAGACTACTACATTGAATTAATTTTATAAATTGAATTAAATTAAATTAAATTACCTTATAAAATATTATTTAAGCCGCTTTTGAATACACAACTTATACGTTATACGAAACATCGCGTTTATATATATTTTGTTTTAACGATTTCTATATTCGTCGCTGTTATGATTACTCGTGTGTTTCACGCGGAACAATGAAGTAGCGCCGGCCTAAAACCATTTCTTGCGAATAAATTCTACGACGAAATCAAATTCCAAGGTGGAAGATGATCGTTGCGATTCAAGTTGTCCTTGCTTTCGCTCGCTTTTGCGCGATCGGAGCTACAAACGAATCGTGCGCGGAAATAAAATTCGCGCGTCGAAAACAATGGTGGTGATTTATATCATCGAGTCTAATTCGCGTGAATTCTTCGTGTCGTAAACAAATTTTTCGACAAAACTGAATAAGCGCGCAAAATAGGATTTTATTCGCACTCAATCTTCTCTTCAATTATTTTTACGTTTAATTCGCAAATGGATTGCGAGATGAAATAAAATGTTGCAAAGAAGGTCATGCAGCTGCATTTATAATGTCATGTATTTCCTAACATAACTGCATTGCTTTGTAAGCAAAATGGAATGATGAAAACATAAAACTGATGCGTAAAAAGTGATAGCGACTATTTGTATCGCTTTTGTCGTTTGTGGCAATCGATGCGCCTGCATAGTTTACGGCAGTAAAGATACTAAATTTAGTACATTGTGCATTTTGACGTACGCGACGAATGTGACACCGGCGTATCATGTCGCGATAAAAATCGGCATTTTTCCGGACGATCGGCGAGAAGAAATATCCGCGCACAAAATCGGTTCATTCATGATAAAAAATATATTTCTAAATTCGTGCAAGCGACACGGTAATTCTTCTCGAGAATAATAAAGTTTCCTCGCGGTTTATTTACGCGCAAGGTTACCTAACACTACTTTAATCGCAACGTCGATTTTGTTTTTGAAATTGTATCGAATACCGAGCTAAAGCGATATCACAACATTGACACTCAAATATCGCATTTCATCGTGATGTCGAATGTAAACGGAGATATTAAGTGCGACGTTTTGAATGCGAGTTTAATATTTTTGTTATGCCAATCATGCGAAAGAGACATGACTCTCTATACGATGATATGTTAACACGTGATTCTCTCTGGAGCTTCTCCCTTTTTTTTTTTTAATATTTTAGTTTTGTCACATGTACTCAATATGATGTATTGTATATATTATAGATACGCTGTGTATGACAAAATCAAATTATTATTTTCATAAATATTGACATTATTTAAACAATATTAATATAACGCCTACGTTTATTCAGTTATTCACGAATTATTATTGGTTCTAGCAAAATCATAAATTTTTTTCATTGTAAATTTCTATGAAATAAATTAAAATTACAATGTATAATTAAATGTTATCGTATTTAGCGTGCAAATATATTCAGCACGCGATAGCCAATAATGTTTCGTCTCTGTCAGAAAATCGTGAATTTTCGCTTAAATTTGTAATTATAATACGTCATAAGCGGGCGAGATACACATACGAGCGTGCACTCTCACATACACTCGTATTTACCTGCATATATTATTCTTCTTATTAGTATAAAGGCGGGACACGTAGATGAGTTTTTTTTTTTTATCTCATTGTTTTACTAGTATCCTTTTTTATATTAATTTATCTAGTAATTGTGCATACGTAGCCTGTTACGTGGAGTCGCATATCCGACATGTTTACACGCCTGTATCTCTGTGTGAAATCATCGGGATCACGTTCATACGCGCGTGAGTGTGTGTGTGTGTGTGTGGTGTATCTGACAATGAGTATGTGTGCAGGCCGAGTTGTATACAGGGCGTATCAAACTTAACCGTCCGAGAATGGGACAGGTGCTCAACTGGCAATGACTGAGCGAGTGTTTGAAAACGTAATAAAAAATGCGCTCTACATAGTGGAAAACGGTATAAAGTGCCTCTTTCGTCGTGGAAAAATATTTTCCCTGAAACGTGATCACGTGCGGGTACTTTTTTTCGTATTAATTTATCATGCACTTAAAAAATCGTTGGTTGAAAAATTCACAGCGGCTCCACAGATCGTTCGTTTAAATTTAGTTTCAATTTATGCGTGACGCCACATTTTCAAATTGATTCCCGCTGATTTTATTACGTTAAACTACTGAATATATTATTATAAAGCTACGACTTTTTGATTGAAATACGGAGTAACCGAGAGCGAATAGAATAAAAACAAAATTAATCGCGTTGATGGAAAAAGTTTCACTGGCGTATTTATTCGAATTTATAGCTTGCGCGGACGTGCGTGCATTTATTGATCTTTTTGTGCCACCCATTATCCATCCATAGAATCTGCCTTGCTCTCCCCACCCTACCTTTCTCCTCGTCTCGCTTATCTCTCTCCAGTCTTTTCATCGTAGTACCGCGTCAATGTCTGTAAATATTAACGCTGTTAATCTAAATCCTCGACGTTGATTTGTCCCGTCTCTCCCGTCGTCTTTTTCGACCTCTTTTATTTTCCATTTCTCTTAGCTAACGACATTAAACGGAAGTACCCACTGCTGCCTTAATGAAATTTACTTTTGAAGCTTCCTAGAGTTCACCCATACTTACGGCCTGAATTGCATTATAAAAGAGCGAGAAAGAGAGAATGTAGGAGTGACGTGTTGCACGTCGACGCTAGTTAATTAATCAGAGATTAAGAATCGCATATTGCGAAATTGCATATTGTCGTTTGGACGACACTTAACTGCAATTTGGCGCATCGCGTTCGCGATGTAATTTTAGCAGTTGTGTAAACGTGGAATTTTTGGTAAGCCGTATCTCGTGTTCTTCGTCAAATTGTCGCTTCGACCGCCGGCGTCAAGGTTATCCCCCGTGTCCCTTCTAAACTGTTTAATCGGTGTAAAGTTCGGATTTCTCTTTCTGGACTTCTGTTCGTGCACACGTTAAATTCTCATCAAAATAAAAAGCGCGCGATAAGAATATTTTATTTCGTCGTGATAACATGCGCCAGCGCGACACGACCCAGCGTAATGATTCATCAGAAATCATCGTCATTGAACAATTCATAATACGCCTGGTATATTCGTCTATCCGGGATATTTTGATTTTACGGTCGTCACTTCTCGCGTATGAGAAATCGTCGTATTAAAATCAAAATTCACTTTCCGCGCTGATTCGCGCGGTCGTTATGATGTCATTGGAACCAATGTAATAGA